GAGGCACAGGCACTCACCTTGGGCCAGTTAGTTTTCAGTTTTGTGTCTCTGAATCATTAATAACTTCTTTGGGTACCAATTTCTTTCTTCCTACAATGGGATACTTTTGCCTGTCCTTTCTATTTCCCGAAAGTTCTACGGGAACAGTTCAGTCAACAGACCTTTACTGAGGACTTACTAAAGGCCAGACAGATGTGAATGTATTTTGGAAGATGCAGCACAGTACATGAATATAAAATGTAAAATTCAACCTAAATTTTCTGTGCTCCTTCTAATGAGTATTAGGTCTTCATGCTCCTAGAGTTACAGCCTTTGCAGGACTTTTGCAAGTAAAACGTGAAATGTAAATTTTAAATAGGATCTGAAAACCCTGAAGGTGGCAGAAACCCTTGAATTTCCCAACTCCTGAGTGAGCATTTCCATTTAATGAAGGAGGGAAAAAAAGAAGTTCTTTTCCCCTGGTCTACAAAAATACTCACATACTTTAGAGTTTTCAGCTCACAAATGTTTAGGTTCTTTGTCACTTAGGATCCCCTAAGCACAGTGGCAGGTGCTTTAACAAATGCAAGTGTATTTTGCATTAAAAAAAAGAAAGCTGTGCGATCTAGGCCTTTAAAGACTCAACACTGAACATAACACTAAGTGCGGAAATGCGCAAAAAGGGCAGCTCATCGGTACTCGGCATTTTACACTGGCTGGAGCGTGGCGCTCACTCTGACTCAGTCCTTTCTCATTCATGGGTTAGTTCCGACCTGGGAACCAATGAAAGATCTAACTAAAATGTGACTTTCCTTGAGGAAAATAAAAATATGATGCCTAAAAAAAAAAAAAAGGTACAAAAACTTGGTATCATTGATACACTTTAAGGCAAGGAAGGATAATACTTAAAGAAAAAAGCAAAGGACACTGATGATGACAAACAGAGAGGGCCTTTACGGGAAGCTCAGTTTCCACATGGCTTTGTAAAACTCAATCCTAGCCACCTCAATTTCAAATCACTAATGTGTCTCCAGCCTGTTCCATTTACTCTTTGGCTCACACCATGTCAAGGGTAGCATTTGCTGTCTGCCCCTGTGACAACTTCTTGGTTGGCAGGACTGCTTAAGTCACTACTGGGATTTGTCTGCATGTTCTACGTGGCCAACCTGGGGGATCACAGGCCTCTACTGATTAAGTGTGCCGGTCTTACAGGGGCTAGATTGCTAGGCTGACGCATGACACTGACTTCTCTTACACCTTCTCCAAATCTTTCTACTTCTTCTCTTCATATTCCTTCACAATTACTGGTGGGCTGTGTGTTTATGACTGTCCTTGGTTTTCTGGGACCTTACCCTCAATGCCTCACTTAGATTAGGTATGCTACATTATTGGGAAGGACTACCTCGCTATCAGGTATTAGAGCCTTTAAGAAGATATCCTAGGATATAAATGAAATAAATACAAGAGGCATTTTCACTTTTTACTATGTAAAGCACAGGGGAAGCTGTCTAAAAAAATCTGCCTTCTGAAAAAATATTCCTGGAAACTGATCAGTCTTGTTTTAAACTACATAGTCTCTTTTTCCATCTGATATTTTGAGAACACTATTTTTCAAAGCACAGATGTTGCTAGAAAAGAAAAAAAAACCCTCCATGAATAAGTAAATCTGGAAAATGCTGGATTAAATAAAAATAGAGCATTTTCTTTCTTCTACGACTTTTTAGATTCTTTGATCAAATTGCACAAGGATGCTGGAAGATAGAGTTGAAATATGCAACACTTTCCCAAAATTCTTTATCCACCAAATCTTTGTCTCAAGACTTCCCTCATGGGACTAATGTTCTGAAAGTTACTATGGGAAATGCAGGCCTAGACTTACAATACTTGGATTCAGTTTCTCATAAGGAGAAATCAAACATCTTAGTAAAGAAAAAAGGGACAGGGAAAAAATGGAAAAAGAATGTAATTCTGCAAGTGCCTGGCAATACTTGAATTTTCAAAGGTAAAATGAGTTCCTGTAGAAATATAGTTAAGTTACTGATTTTTTCATATTTCCTTTTCACATGTGCTGATCTCTTAATAAAGCTCAGGAGGTAATGTCTACTCTGTTGTCCCTCTGCCAGAAGACACTGTTGGTCAACAGTCAGAGGCACAGAAAGTCCAGGGCCAGAAGAGTCACGGGAACAGAATCAGGAACCCTTGAAGAGATCTCTCCCCTTTAATTCAGCTCAGCTAACTAAGGCACATTATGGAAAACTGGCTTAGAACTAGTCCAAATCAACCCACGACTAAGACTCTCCTACTGTCACATGTTGACATGTCTGTCATATTCTAAAAAGCACTTGCATGTCATTGTATTAGTACACATGGCTTACACAATTATGTGTAGGGTTTGTAACCAACTGGAAAAACTTCCCAGCCTTTAAAAACTACTGTTCACTGGGACTGAGCTTTATAGCAATGCACATATTGATATACTGGCCATTGGTCACTAAATCTCAAATTTCCAGTACAGGGAAAGGCATCATTTCCAAAACCTGCAATACCTAGTCTGAAGAGCTAGCTATTTCTGAGACTGGAGCCAACCTAACCTCATACCCAGATTCCCTGCCTAAGTCTCTCACTGATTGAAAGTATAAAACAACAGAGCAACACAGCCTTGGTGACCCTAACTTAAAACCATGGCGTCCTGCTGGACAAGGGTGTTTCACTGTCACCGTGAACCCTACTTTAGAGAAGTTTCCAAACCATGAGTACTTAATTAAATTATAGTTTTATCTGTCTTTCCCTGACTGATCTAGAAAATCACTGAATGAGATAGAAGACTTAGATTCTCCTCCTAGGACCAGACAGGAAGCTCCCTAAAGGCTGAGCTCTGTCCTGCCTGTCCTGCTCCTCCTTAAAACCCACAAGGGGCCTTGCATGGAATTGGTGCTCCTAATGTTTGCTGAAAGTTCGCAGCAGGATTCCAGCCAGCATCCTCCACTCCTAGAGGGTGAATTTCTCACCTGGAGAAGGCTGGAGCTACCTGCCTCTATGTCCAGGGGTCACTGAGCACATTCACTGAGGTGATAGATGTAATCACCATCATCCCGGCAACAGCAGTAAAAAAGGTGTGTCCAAGGTCCCAGTGCCATGCCTAAGCCAGACACTCTTCAAGGGTTCCTAACTCTTCCGGTAAGCCTCCTCCCACCAAGCAATTATTTTTGTCCTCTAACAATGTTTACTGTCCTTGGACAAACGTAAGGCGGACAGCCAAGCAGGCAAGATAGTCCCGTTTTCTGACTAGAGACCTCCGGAAAAATAGCAGGAGGACAGCCTTTGTGGAAATCATTCACAAGGCAGATAAATTCGATCTGGTGCCTCATTTTCAGCTGCACAGACTAGGGTATGTGTCTCTGTAAGAAAGGCCAGTGTGTCATCTCAGCAGGTCTCTGCATGATCCTCTCCTCTAAGCTGGCTTTCAGGTCTTCTTTCTGCCCTGATAATGCGCTCTGCTCCTGTCAGTCTGGGTGAGAAGAGAAAGTTAGGGTGGCCTTCTGCCATGTGTAGCTCAGAAGAACAGCCAAAGCGTGGTTTGCAGGCCTTTCACTACTGACCCTCAGGGGAGAATGCCAAGAAGCACAGGGCAATGTGTCAGAGAGCAGGGACCCAGGACGAGAGTGAAAAGATTTAGTTAGCTTGCAGGATGCCAGGTATGCTAAGACGAGCGTGTGAGGAGGTGGTGAGACTTGGAGAAATAAAAGCGAACCCAAGCAAAACACAGACACACTGATAAGGACATAAAACTCGTATCTCCACCTTCCATTTTTGAATCCGAAAAACAATGAGCTAGTGCCTTTCACCACGTAGCTTCAGGGATCTAAATGACCCATGCAAACACCTGAGGCTCCGAAGACAAATGCTTCAGGGTGTGAAAGATGGGCGAGCTCAGGGGCTGGGAGCCTTATCACCAGCTGCTCCGCTGCTCAGCCCTGGGGAGGCTTTCTATAACGTTATGTCCTGTATAAATAGCTCCCCTGTAGTTGCTCTCCTGGCAAAATATCTTGAAGACAAGCATCTCTGGGATGCTAGTTACATGAGGGGAAAAGAAAACAGAGTCATCTGAAAAGTTTTAGAAGCACAAAAAACACTTCCTCTCCAGCAAAAAATTAAGCCTCTTTTTCACACAGATAACTTAACTAAGCCCTTCTCTTCTTATCCAAGGCATCCACACTTATCCAAACAATGCTATTTCTTTGCCTAATGCCCCCTCTCTACTGGAATTTACCAGGATCATAAAAACAATAAGGGTATAGCACAATCAAGGAAGAACAACTGCTAGTATTGTCTCTGTTGGTCTTTAACTTACTTTTCCAATATTTGGTATTTAATTTCCTAATTTGCATAAGATTCACCTTCAAGAGTTTTAATGCTGAATACCATAGTTTTTTTTTTTTATATTTGACTATAGTTGAAAACTGAAAGCATTTTGTTTTTGTCATTCTATCTTTTCACTTGCTTTACTTAGTCAAGGCAGAAGATAGGGTCCAAATCAAATAAACCAGACTCCTTGGCTTCACTGACTGAAAGGCCAGCAAAATGGATTTCTCTTCTTGTTGTTTTACCCCACCATTAATTTGCATCACTAAGGCATTTTCTAGGAAAGTGTTCAGCAGACTCAAGACTTCTCTGGTTGCCAAGCTCATGGAAACAAAGTGCTTTATTTTAAAACTCTTAAGAGACATTCCAAAATAACTCACCATTAGATACCAGCACTAGACTACATATCTATAAAGGAAGAAAGGAGGGAAGGAAAGAAAATGGATAACATAAACAAGAAAAGACAAAGCCTTAAAGAGGAAGGAGAAAAGAAAACATTTAGATTCCTTGAGTGATGGAAATAAATACCAAAGCTATTAGTTTCAGTTCAAAGAACGTATCACTTTATGCTGTTTATTATTTCTTGAGGATTATTTATTTTTTCTTAAAATATCCAAACGGTAAAAGTGGTCCTGGAGGTAAGCAGCAATGAAACTGACCTGGTCCGGACAGGGCCTGTGATTGGAATGCTGCGACCTCCCGGGAGAGCGATGGTGGTGGTGATGGTGGTGATGGTGGTAATGGTGATGGTCTTCATCATAGTTGTCTGCCATCAGCTTCATTCTATTCTGGGTCTGTGTAGAACAAAAACCAGGGAAGATTCCATCAGGAGCTGGAGGACACACCAAAGAGACTTGGGGCATAACGGCAGGATCTCTGGGGCTCCCTCTTCCTAACCCAGAGGTTCTCGATCCTAGTTAGAAAGAACCTTGCCCTTAGCTTTGGTGGAAGAGGCTTGTCATACCCGTGAAGCTACAATGCTACATCTGCAGATGTCAGTGTAGTTTCCTTTTGTGATTTAAAAGTGGAAAGTACATATCCTAAGGTTTTGTTTGACATTATCAAGCAATCACAGTGCTCCAGAGTAAGCTTCCAAACGCAAAGTGCCAACACTCACATATGACCTACACTCTAAAGCAAGCCAGAGAAGGAAGCCTTGGACAGAAAGATGTCAGAAGCTCCAGGTGAAGACACAAAACTACAAACAAGGGTCTCAGAAGACAGTGCTGGGAAATCCACTCAGAGGCTGCCACATGCAAAAATGCTGATGGAGATGGCTTATTGCTATGATGAGTTCTTGGGAAAGGGCTGTCTATGCACATTTTAATTGATATTATTCCTTTAGGGAACAGAGCAAAAGGTACAAAGTCTGTGGAAAAAGATACTCCATTATTGTCAGAATGGGGCAACTAGGTATCATAGTTAAAAACCCCAGGGCCAAAGAATTGTATTGCTTCATTATGCAAGGCAAGAAATGGGCCAGAGATGCACTAATTGGGCCATACAATCTAGAAAAATGCTTAAGACCATAGAAAGAATTATAAAACTAGCCAGTCCAGAAAGCCAGGAAACATGGGTTTGGGGATAGAACTGCCTGAATTCAAGTGCTGCCCCTATCTCTTCGCAGGGTATGTTGCCTTAAGAGATTAACTGATCAGTAATTTTGATCTCCATAACTCTACAGTGAGAACTTTCCTCCCTGGGGCAGCTGTGAGGAACAAATGCTAGAATGGCTTCAGGAATCAGTCCGGAATCTGACACATAGTGAGTTGGCAGTAAGTCAAACACTCCTATTATCACTCCTATTATTATTGTTGTTCTTGTTTACTCTAAAAAACTTTTCCTTTGTGCATCCCGCTCCCTTTTATGTAATGCCACCAAGGCCCTTTCCTTTACTCTAATTCCATGTCCACCTAACTGATGGTGCTTTTTGAAAGAGACTTTGCTTTTGCGCGCACGTGTGTGTATGTATGTGTGTGTGTGTGTGTGTGTGTGTGTGTGTGCGTGTGTGACCAAACCTAGGCCTTGCACATGATAAGCACACGCCCTACCACCGAGCTACAGTCCTCTTTCCTGACCTGACTCTGAGGCTGGACAGGATGTGCCCCCTGCTTACCATGGCTCTCTGACCCTGGGTTTACCTGTGCATCTGTCATTGGATCTTGAAGCTGTTTCTTTGGTCTGCCTCTCCCAGAATCTAGCACAGGGCCTACCAGAGGCAGATATTCAATGCCTGCTGCTGTCACGAGTCGCTGAAAGAATGAAGGGATTCCTTCTCAAGAATGCTGCCATCTTAGAGACAAGATGCATGTTTCTTTTCAGCAGGGAGGGTCACTGAGAGTTGAGGACATTGCGTGAATTTCCATAACAGTCCCACTGGTGGCTCAAGATGACAACAAGCCATCAGGACTTTAAGAGAGCCAGAAGTCAGGGGCTGGCAGGGCTTCCAGCTGGTTGGAGTGTTGTTATGTAATATAAATAATTCCCTGATAATAAAGAGCTTTCTGGACCTAGCATAGTGCATTCTTACCAGTGTTTTTTATGCACGATCTAACATAGCCTCAAAACTTGCCTGGGAGAAATTATTACTATCCTCTTTGGCAGCTAGAAAAGTGAGACAGCGATTTCAGTCCCAACTGCCCCAAAGGTCATTTTCTTGACATAGGACCCTGAAATTTTCTGAGCCTTCCATTTCTCAATTGCTAGGCTTTTTTCCCTGCCTTGCTGAGAGCAAAACAGGCAAATAGCTAAATAGATAGAAATAACTTTCCCATAAAAGCTTTGGTTCTGTTAAGTTTTAGAAACACCTCACATCTCAATTCTATCTGCCAAAGGATGTCTCATGATTTATTCACTCCATCTAGTAAAACGTGTACAATGTTCAAAAGTTCCCAGAATGGATGGTATATATGATAAAAACAGTAAAAATATAGGAAAAGCCACTTAAAAATTAAATTTAAAAAATCCCAGACAACCTTTAGCAGCTGACAGCATTTCCATTCTTCACTTATCCACCTACTGTGTCAGCAGACCCAATGGACAAATTAGGCCTTGTGAGAAAGAGTAGGGCAGTACAACTCTTTGGGACCAAGTACTGAGATTCCCCTTAGTCCTCTTGCCCTTGGACATGGGATTCTGAGTTCAGCGTTCACACCTAAAATTCCAGTGTTGTCACAGGAGACTGTACTTTTGAACTCATGAACTAATAAATCTGGAATTGTTGCTTCTAAATAGAGTTTTAAAAGCCTGAAGGGAGTTGGGAGATACGTGATGGTCAAGGAGGAAAAGACTGCCCAAGAATGAATAATGGGGTTTAGAAGAGCAAATAATAACTGTTATTGTACACATCACAGTGTCCTTACCCTTTGGGGAAGCTCCTGTAATTTCATGAGATTACTTTCTTACCAGAGACAAGACGAAAGTTCCCTACCTTTGAACTATATCCCATAAAAGAATGCACAAGCTAAACACGATGCTATATGCAGTTCTAAATGTGTCTGCTGAAATGAGGTGTTGGAGAGTAGGCATGTCATAGGATAGAGACCAAATGAATGATGTCATCGTTCCAATTTGGTACTGAAATATAAATAAACCACGTTGTCCGTGTGAATACTTGATCTGGCGGAAATGTACACAGAGGAATTGCGAGCGGAAGAGGCTTCTTTTGATGAGTCTGGCCTGGGAGAGAAGAGTGTGAAGCAGAGATGAAAAGTAAGAGTTCGGTCTGATACTCTAGACCCTTTTTATTTATCTGTTTGTAATGTATCTCCTAAACTGTGACCGATTTCTTACAGGCTGCTTGCTAGCATTTTCTCCCATAAAACATTGGCCAATCTGACTCCATGAAGTCAAATTGAAAATGGATCTCTTTTCATTTCTACTGGTCAATGTGTTTTATCTGCCTTCACCCCTAACCAGTTATATTGGTTTCCTAGCACACAAAGAATGATCTGAAGGGATAGGGAGCCACAAATAACATACCTTAACAGTCCATGGAAGAGAAACTACAGGAAGTTATAACATGGATTGGAACAAAGATATTCTTTTAGGTTACCAGGGGGTTCCAGGTATAATAGGTCATGTCCCTATAGCCTTTCCTATCCCAGGTATAGGAGATATCCCAGTACATTTTATTTCTTCTGCAGTATCTACCATCCTGCTGACTTGACTGACCTCTTTGCCTTTGGCTGACTGTAATAAATACCAAATTTTTCAACTATATTATGTCATGACTGCTGAGACAAATCTAATCATATTTCATTTTCTTTTTCTTTTTTCTTTTTCTTTTTGTCTTTTTGAGACAGGGTCTCGTTATTTTTTTGTTTTTTTTTGTTGTTGTTGTTTTTCTCCGGTACCAGGAACCGAACTCACGACCTTGCGCTTGCCAGGCAGGCGCTTTTGCCACTGAGCTAAATCCCCAGCCCCCAGGGTCTCGTTATACAGTTCAGGCTGGCCTTGAGCTCACTTTGTAGCCCAGGCTGGCCTCGAACTCACAACGATCCTCCTGCCTCAGCCTCCCGAGTGCTAGGATTACAGGCGTGCGCCACCACGCCCAGCCCATATTTCATTTTCTATTTCCTCTTTTTTTGAGGCACCACTTTATTTCCAGGCTTCACTTTATATTTAGGAGCACAGCCTCCTAAGAGCTCTCCTGCCTCCCTTTGGATGCGTTCTGTAGCCACGGCAACATCACACTCCACAGATTCAGGTTCTGCAGAGGCTTCCCACTGCCCTAGGAAAGGAGCCCTGCTTATATATCTCCTACTGGTCAGCTGCTGTCACCTTGGATCCCGTCTCCCAGCCTCGGAGAATCTGTCTCTGTTGTAGTGCTTTTCGTCCTTTACTCCTCAAACATGAGTTACTCTGATCGGTTCTTCTGGTCTTAGCTTCCACATCATCCCCGTCAGACATGCCTTCCCTAAGCCGGCCTCACTAGGGAGTAGAAGCTCCTCTGCCTCTTCTCATAGACTCATTCCCCCTTCCACCCCCCAAGCTCCTTCCCTCAGAGAACAGCGCATCGCTGCACGCTTGCTTGGCTGTCTCCCTTAACAAGTCAAAAATCTAATGGAAGCAATATGCTCAGGTTGCCCTTGTACTCACCCCTTGGCACAGAGTGCAGGGTAAAAGCAGCAAGTCAATGTGTGTCCTGTGAGTGTGTGGACCTGGAGAGGCCACCGGCTACTTTCACACAGGGCAAGGACACAGTGAGAGGCTACAGTGAACCAACTGGGTCTTTAACTCCCATTGTGATAGTTTAATCTTTCCTGTTGTGTATGTGCTTTGTTTGTCGTTGTTCTTGTTAGGAATGGAGAGAGTACGGTAAATGCAGAGTTTGGGAAATGTTGAGCAAGTCCAACTGGTCTTCTTTAGAACATAATCTATTCCTCAGTAAACTGGACCCAGTTAAATACTCAACCACTTGAGTAAATTCTCTTAGAAAGAAAAGGGGGTCCTGGGGAGCTATCAGGTGCATTTCCTTATTGTCTATTAGGCTTTGGGACAGCAGGGGACTTTGGAAAACTTTTGATAGTGCCAAAAGTCAACTATGGGAAACTGACACTTTATCCATTAACTAAAATCCCTGATGAACAACATCTGTGAAGAGGGTGTAAGCCACCTCCACTCTTGACATTTCGGAAGAGTTTATCCAAGGATCTCTTGAAACAAAATGAAAATCCTTGATTGACTAGTAATAGGCTCAATATCTTAATGGCAATATGCAGCTATAAAAGTGTAATATTAAAACTGCCTCTCAAATATTTTAGCAAGATGGCAATAAGGAACTATGCTTTGA